CAGGTTGCCCACTTTTCTTTTATGATAAATAAAAGGTTACCGGCAACCTTTTAAAGGGATTTGATGATATGCGCTGTTTTATATAAAAAAAATATTTCTGATATTATCCAATACGCTACTTCGTGCTTTTAAGGGCACGTTCGTTGGTTTAGGCTGCATTTGCAGTTGTTAATTCCCTCCAATCCACATTGGACCAGTATGGAGGCCCATCCTCCTTAACCATCCATAAGGATGGCCTGAGCCCCTGAGAGGACGTAAAAAGGCTGATGATAATAAATTTATTGATAATGCAAAAAAAAAAATACTAGTTTAATAATCTTTATAATCTACCCCACAGACAGACAAACGAAAAATAGTTAATATTTCCATTATAATCTTCGGTTATTTTGAAATCTTCTTTCAGTTAATACTAGATTTTCATGTGTCAAAAGAGGCGTGATTATTTTAAGTTTTTTTATGCGTTCTTTTCTTATGTCAATATCTGCCATCTAAGATTTTCTTGTAACAAATTTTGTTACACGTAATATTTCTGTTTATATTATATATAATAAATTCTTTTTAAGTTTAATTTTTGTTTTCATCATTCACAAAAGATAAGTGGCCTTTCTACATCATATATAACAGAGAAGAGGAATTGAGAAAAAAAATACATACATACATAGAATATTATTTTACAGTGATATATCCTGATTAGCTAAGCAAACCGGTTCGAAATTATTAATCTACATGCTATCTAACTTATAAACGTTGTCACAATCAAATAATAGATTAGATGCATATACCGTATTTCAAACTATAACTCGTACGAATTAACATGACACCTGATAGCCTACTCTATTTGTTTTCGAGCGGAAATTCGGGAAATTCTAAAAGTTCTTCCAAATTTTGTTAAAATAATTATCCATGAAGTTTATCTATGCATCAGATACAGTGGTTTAAATATTTCATTTGAGACTCAGAGCAAGTTATTTAAAGCGTGCACTTTAAAAGCACTTGCGATTTGAAAACTTTCTTGTCTCATACTGCATGCGCTTATAGTTAAGCGCACGTTTTAAATATCTAATGTGTACTAGTACAAGGAGTCACCCAGCATCTTCAGGTCAATAGCGGTCAGAGGAAGCGCTCAATTACAATCGTACGAATACACCGAATCACGTGACCCTGTAAGGTGACGCCACACCAGTCATCCAATCAGTCGTCTGAGTCACACGGTGACCCAACGTGGTCTAAGTCAAGATCCAATGCAGATAATTAGTTGCAGTTAAAATATTCACGCAATAAATAGTACTGATGATAGTCTATTCTATTTGTGCGATAACAAAATTTCGTCTAAATGTTAATAATACACTGAAGAAAAACATTATTCGATAATTATATATTTAAATGAAGATAAATCTTGAAAGGTGTTGGCTAAGAGCAAAAATAGAGAACGATTGTAATAATACTATTCGTTTAAATCGGAAGAACTATATTACAGTAAGACAGAAGAAAAAATCATGGGCTGTCAATCAAAATCAGACTTTATTTTTTGTATTATTATTTGAGAAAAATACTATCGATTTAATTGTGTTAAGAAAGGTACTTCTTATATTCTACGTTTCTCTTCCATTTCCAGGTCATGAAACGCTCATGAATCCTCCCTATTTATTTCAGGTCGGCTAAAGTAGTGCTAATCGGCTGTTCTTACGGAGGCAGCCTGGCGACATGGTCTCGTCTCGTATATCCGCACCTGGTGCAGGCGGTAGTCTCCGACGGCGGACCGCTGTACGCGCGAGAGGACCTTCCTGGTGATTGAGTGCCCATTTTTTTACTGATCACACCTGATGGCCCTGCACTATTGTTATCGATATGCTTAATTTATATTCATTGTTACTTGGTGTCTGTGGGCTAAATCTTACATATTCGATCCACTTAGTCAAAATATACGGTTTTTTTTTATTATATTAATTCATAACTGACGGTTATAAGGATATTGTCGCACAGCCAAATTAAATGCATAAATCTCTTTATTGTCTCGTTTCAAGCTCGCAAGTCATGCAATAAGCACAGGAAATGCTTAACAAGGATCAAACAATGGGATCCATTATGCACTAATGTAATCAGAACTACAGATCCTTTTTTATAATTCTAATTGGTCATTCGTGTGTATAAAAAAAATCATGTATCTTAGAAACATTCTTTTAATTTTAATATATGTTCGATTTCGCTTTCACAATGCTATAATGGAAAATATTCTTAATGAAAGTGTTTAAAAATCCACTTTGTCCCTGGTACTCTCAAATAGGCAACAAAGATAATCTTTCATATTACACCACGAAAGGCAGCTGATAACAAATATGTAACAAATCGTTACAGAGTATCTGATGACGATAAAAGAGTTGTTACGCGTGAAAGGCAATGAGCAGTGTTATATCAGCTTACAGCAAGCGATGCTGGAAACGATGGCAGCTCTCAACACCAGCGTGGGGCCGCCGCAGGTCTCGCAGATGTTCAAGTCAGTATCACACCATTAATTACCATGAACGTTTAAAACGACATACCTATATTAATTATTATTCTATTTTATTCCATTCAGTACGTGTTCCCAAATGTCTACGAATTCTCCGCTGGATACAGCTGTATTCTTGTGGAAGATTTGGGGTGCGCTCACCGACCTCGTGTGGGACAATCTGAATGATATACCAGCAGCATGCACCACTTTAACAACACCTGATACAGGTAAATAGGAGATTCGAGTTTTTAGTGATTTGTTTTAAGATTCGGGTTTTCTGGGCCGTAAATTAATAGAGATTATTCTCGATCTTCTCTTGAAGTATGAAAAATCACCGCCCTTGCTCTTGAACCTTTTTTACCTAGTTAAAATAAAAATAGCTTTTTGCGCACAACCGCTGCGCTACCGAGGTACCCAGATACTTAGCAAATTGACATCAACACTCTCTATTTCTCTTCCACTTGAATTGTAAAATGTGTACCACACGGTTGTAAAATAACATTCTCAGAAAAACTTTTTTATTGGACATGAGTGTCCGCGGCGTATAATGAGTGACACATGCTGAAGGTCAATTCTACTATATTTTTTTCGTAATAATAGCATCTCAATAAAATCTCAAATACTAGCACTTTTCCATTGAACTATCAATCTGAAGTCTAATATTATTATATACCCATCTGTCACCATTGATTTGTAAGACATGGCGCTAATACGAGTAATATTGGACTTAGGTAGGTAGTACGAAGTGTAAGTAGTTGGAGATTATTTTATGATGCAATTCATCATCATCAGCCCTTTATTCCGTCCCTACTGCAGGGGATCAAGCCTTCCTTATGGATGTTTAAGGAGGATGGGCCATTACCCTCCACGCTGGCCCATTGTGGAATGGCGGGTATTAACGACTGCAAACGTTTTTCCGATGGAGTAGCTGGAGATAATAATTTATTGGTCACCCATCCCGTGACCGACTCTTGCGAAAGTTACTTAACTGCAACGATCGCGATTACGATTACGATTTTTACAAAATAAAAATGCAGACTAAAGCCCTGTTATGCACTAGGCGGCTATGATTGATACTATTTGGAAATGCAATAAACTATTTAAAGTTCACAAATCGTCAGTGACTATATTTTTTTGACCACGACACAAACGGTATCTAATGTTTGAATTAAATTTAAAAAGTATATATATATTAATTCCAGCAAGTGCCATGCAGCGTTTAGCGAACTGGTATACGGCGCAAGCCCAAGACTCATGTCTTGAGTCCCGCTACACACACATACTGCCAACACTCGCCAACACCTCGTCTGATTCACCACAACTGCACGGTAAGAATAACAAACATTATTTTTATTGTATAAACGTTAAATTATTGATTTTGCAGCTGTACTCTTATTGAAATTGAGTAAATTTGGTAGAAAGATAATACGCATAGTGCTAACAATAATGATGATGGTGCCGCTTAAAAAATCCATTTTGTCCCTGGTACTCTGAGATGGGATTCGAACCCACGACCTTTCGCAACCCAGGCGACTAACAACTGAGCTACCCAGTACCTAATAGGACTGACGAATTTTTCAAACACTTGTAATTTTTTCGCTCTTTTTACTACATGCAAAAAGATTCAATACGCTTGCACGTTTGCCACTTGCCGCAAACTTTAAGCTCAACAAACGCGCAAACGTGTGAAGACATCTTAAGCGTTTGCGGCAAATTCCCTTTGATTTGTAATAAAAACCCACATCGGTAGCATCTTAGAAACACTTGCAAACCTACACAAACCGGATCATACACTCTATCCACAAGTTTGAATTTGCAATGGCTAGTTGATATTTGATAAGCGTGCTGACGCAGCATAGAAGTTAATAATAGTCTCAGAAGATACATATAGTGAAACCAAGCTCCGAAAAAGAGTTTTAAAATTGCAGACATTTAATGTTAACAAAATGAGATCATACAGTCCTGGAATGCCGCGACACAGCACGTCTCGGAAAACGTCGTGAAACCTAGTTGCAAAAATGAGCACAACATATTGAATTATCAAGCCTATATTATCGATAAGAATCTAACGGGTCCGGGCTAGCTTAATTTTTAATTTAACTTTTAATTATAAAATCATCAGAAGAAGACATGATGAACTAAAATAGGATTTACATGATATTATGTCCGGGAACGTCAGGGCTATTATAGTGATTAGCATATTTTATATTCCATGCTAAGAATGAGTGGTTCGTTTTAATTTGAATAAATTCCACAGTTATCAAAGAACGTTTTTAAGGAATAATATCAATATAAGAGAGAGCTGAAGATTGTAATTTCATCAAATCATTTACAATTCTTATAATAATGACATTGTCCAGGATGATGTCACAAATTACAGATAGAATTTTCAAATTCACTTACAACATTGGTCTACCCGCTCACCAAATCAAATTCAAAGTTGGTGTACCCATAATGCTAATGAGACTTTTCCCCACTGAAGTTTTGCATTAGAACGGAGCATAAGACTATGGCTCTGCAGAGGAATCCTATCGAAGCTGGGCTTCTGACCGGCTGTGGTGAAATTGTACTAATACCGCGTATACCAGTTATCCCCAACAATTTACGGTAAATGCGTTTAAAATTATAACAAACCAAACTTAACAATGAACAAAGCTACTAGTTGTGTTTTGTATTTGACAACATGCAATTAATTTTAACAAAGTTCGTGTTTGTTCATGCCAACAGTCCGCTTTGTCACACATGTGATCGGGACTGTTTTCAGTTGAACTACTTATTTATAGAAGACCAGTGGTTTTCTCGGGACTTCGCCCGCTTGAAGACAAAATTAAAAGTAAGACGCCATGTGAAATCAGTCAATGACACCCACTTAAACCTCAGTTACCTACTCCGTGATCATGGAGCTTGTATTAGCACCAAAATATCAACAACTCGACAAATATAAGGTACATAGCAGCAATCCCGTATTTAAAACAAAATTAAGCTAGGATTTTCTAAATTAAAAATTGTCACGACGAGTCCCCATTCGATGACAATCAAAATATATAACAACATACCAAACAAAATAAAGCAAGTAAAACAACTAAAACCATTTACTGAACATTTAAAAACATACCTCATTGACGAATGCTATTATAATATTGCCGAATTTTTTAATGATAAATAGGCATTACGTACGAACGAAAATATATGTTTTACGGAAATGTAAAACTTTATTAATTAATTTAGGACTGAAACTGTAAAAAAAAGGAACTTTTTTTCTTGTTAATATGATTAATATTAGTATTTTAATTTAAATTACCTATTTGATATTGAAATTGAAATTAAATTTAAAATTAAATTTGGATTTGCTACACCCCTTACAGGGTGTCACATGAACTGTACTAATTATTGAATAACTTTATACTATGTGACATGCAATAAATGACTATTATTATTATTATTAAAAAATATTCTAATGTTATTGTCTTAGAAATTTTAAAACAACATTGTGACCCTTATAACTTTAACAACATGGTGACCATTATACTGTGTTTTGGCAGATCGTCTACAGCTGTACAGGTCGTGTTCACAGCTGGGATGGTGGCGGTCTTACTTCCCGCAACTGCCCGCATCTTTCTACGAACAACTATGCACAGACGTTTTCTCCGACTAGTGAGTATATACCTACTATACTTCTAATCCGGTATCAGTACCTGGTAAAACCCGCTGCGTTACCCTCCGGGGAGAAAGGTCCCGAAATCCGTCAGAATCCGCCGGCTCCAGCCCCGCAATAATATACTTCTTATGTAACTACTTAGCTATTGCTATTCTATTAAATACAGCCTCGAATTCGTCTTCGAACGCAGTGCTGCGTAATAGTGAATCAATGAACTAAATCTTTGCAATATAAATCGTTGTGGCGACCAATGTTGTAACAACATAAGCTGATACAGGGCCCTGATCAAGCTTACTGTCATTGTTTTCATTGTTATTTTAATTGTGTTAGTTATAATATACGCTATTCTATATGTTGTATAAACATATTGTTTCAAAGAAAAATTCTTTATAATATCTTATACCTTTTTAATAGTATCGGATTCCTGGTTTATGTAGTCTGATAAATGGGCAGACCATACTAATAGCCCACTTACACTGGTCGTGGCCTTCCACGTGCGTGTGGCGAGCGATCTCTGTTTCTCTAGGGCGTCAAGTTCCATTGGGACGGCGTTCTCATCGTATCTTCACTATATCATTTTCCACAATACTAGTGTTTTAGCTACTTAATTTGGTATCTGAGCAATGTATGTGATGTTATACAATATATAATGGTAAACAGTTTTCCCTGTAGTATTTAAGTGTCTGTTAAACCTTTATTTAAAAAACAAAAAATTATACTATATCTATATTACTTAATTAACGAGTGAAGTAATTTTATATTTCCATTGAAATTCAACCACAGACTAAAGAATTTCTAATGAAAATATACTAAATATGCATGAAATGGCACAATAAAATGTGCACTTAAAGAAACAACCACAAATTATAATTTTAACATAGCGTAAACTTAAAACTTTTGACTTAGGTATGTATTAATATATTATCTACCGCAAAATATGACGTCTTTACAATAAACGTAAGTACTAATTGCACCGGAAAATGAGTTGTCAAATAATTGTTTCCGTTGATAAGTTGTTAGGTAGGTACTTTAGTCCAGTTTAAGTACTTCTCAGTATTTTAATTATAATAATAATATTATAACCAAACAAATTATCTTATTTTTTTATTGATTTTTAGAATTTTTCATCTTCTTTACTAAGATTATAAAGAAGAAAGATTTCATTGTTTGTTTGCATCATATATGCTCTAAAACTATTGGACCGAATTTAAAAAAAAAAATCACCTACTGTAAGATACCTCGCACATGAGTAGACAGGCTATCATTTATTAAATTTTTAACGCATTTTAAAATACAGAATTAAGCATTTATCTCTATTATTTGGTATTCCTGTTTCAGTTTCAACAGGGAATTCCTTCAGTATGGCATCAGTCGGACGAACCTATTTTTCGCCGGTCTATCCCATCTACCAGACTACGTAGTGTCTGTGTCGGGTACGCTGGACCCGTACTTCGACGTGTCTCCTGGTTCTGACCCATCTAAGGCAACCAACAAAGCTCCAGTATATGTGCTCCAAAATCAACCGAGGTGTACCGCTTTAGGGTAAGGTCTTCTCTGAATTTGACATTACATTTTTTGATCAAAAAATTTGTAGTCCAACCTTTGAGGTTAAACTAACGACTATATACGAGGGTAGTTTGAAAAGTCCGTGCAAAGTCTGAAAGACGGCACTACCGGCGCGTTTTGAAGTTATCGTTAAGTAACATTTCTTGGCCGAACACACACCAAGTTTCAGCCTGATTGTTCATTTTTGTTTAACATTCCCTTTAATCAAGGAAGTCGAGTAATTTTCAAAAGACGGACGAAAAAGAATGTCGTGTGGTGATTAAACATTATTTTTAAATGAAAAAATTTCTTGTGGTTATTAAACATTATTTTTTAAATGTAATTTGATAGTTAGACAAGTCGTATTATTTGGAAGGGATTAACATATTAGAACAGCGTTGGACGAAGTGTATTCATCGTGAAGGCTATGTGGAAAAGGTAAAAAAAGTTAATCCCAAAGAATTAAATAACTTTTATTTTTTCATTTTAAATACATCATTACATTATTCCGTAATATGAAGAAGAAGTCTGTGTAATAGTGTACTGAGTGAGGAAAACATTTATAAATCTAGTCTAAAACATTAAGATTTTTGCCTCAGTGCTGCCAATGGCTTGATGAGGAGAGGAACTTGATGAGACAAAGTGATAAAGATATTTGAGTCCGCGTTTAAGTAAAGCAAATTTCGTAAAGGCCAGTAATCTGCAATCGGCTGCATCTGCATTCGGTTAACACCCGTCAATACGTGTGGATCATGCCAACGCAACCTGATCGTCCAGTTTTAATCCATTGTCAGTGTCCAGTATGTTGCTCATTATGTTATCATTACAAGATCAGTTCTTTCTTTTTAACATAAATATTTTAAAGGAAAGTGACTTCATAAAGCCACTTGTTTGTTACTAATACTTAACTTATGTATAATTATATCATTAGTCAAAACATTTACGGTCATAAACCGAATCACCTAGCAACTGCCTTTATTATAAATACATCATAATACTCCCCCTGAACAAGTGGTACACCCCCTGGTATATAAATAATGTTGGCCTACACTTTGTACTGTAAGTAATAGTTCATTTTAATTAAAAAAATTATTTCCGACTCCTGTCTCTATGACAATAAATTTCTTATATTTCAGGGCATTCGAAGACAGTCCTACTGAAGCAATTAGACAATTGAGAATGAACGTGATGAACGATATACATTACTTCATCCAAGGCGTTCCCTTCGCAGGAGCTACCCGAGTTTTGAGCTCTGTAGTATTAGTAATAGGTGTCATTATTGCATTCACCCTGTGATTTGATGGTTAACTTAATTTGTATAATAATATATGCTCGTAGACCTTCGGTGATCGGAGTAGGTAGATTATTTTTTAATGCTTCCACCATAAATGCAAAGAAGGAAAAACATGGATAAGATGTTTTTTCCAGAATGTATGTCTGGATTCAACTGAATATAGTTAATGTTGGTGGTAATACTATTACTACCTAATTCAAAACTGAAAGCAAGGTATCAAAACTATTTGAATTTATTTAGCCTGATGTAATCCAATTTTATTCCTAGAAATCAAAACATTTGAAGATATTACCTGAACCTATTTCCTACGTAAGTTCCGGAAAAAATATAAAATAATCAATTCCGAAAGAGTGTCCATTTTATATCACATTTCAAGTCAATGACACCTAATTCAATCGACCTACTTCGATGAGTATTCATTATAAGTATAATATTATCATTCTTCCCCGCTTTTTTTTGTAGAATCGTATTTTAGAACCAGCACATTTCCCATTAGTATCGGCCAATTCTTACTTTTCTATGAGGGTAAAAACATGCAGAATTCGTTTAAATAGATAAAAATAAAAACAAATGATTCAATTGTAACGGTATTTTATTTCATACCACTATTTTAATATAATAAATTTTCGGTACGCATTGTTATTTAAAGCGATCGGAAGCTATTGAACATTATCGACGACATAATTACCAACGACGCACGCGCAAGGATCGTTTATAACACCTAAAAGGAACGAACCATTGATCGGTTAAAATATTAATTTCAACTACTACCAATTTCTGTGTAATTATGAATCGTAAACACTTTTATACGAGAAAATATCATTATAGATAATACAATTCGCTAGTTTTGGCGTGACCCAATATATTTCCTTAAAATATTCTTTACAGATATACATATTTTGTTACATATAAATGCCATGGTAGGTCCACTGCACATTGTACATATAAACCGAAATTTTAATTAAGAAATCATTATGCCATCAAAATCTTTTAATTAGTAACTGTATAATATAAATACCATAACAATTTACAATTATATTTGTTATATAAAAAGGAATTCATAGAAAAACCAAATTGTAACCATCAAATTGGAAATAATCAGGCTTTTTTGACAAATATCTTTTATAAAGCAATTAATCAAATATGCACAAAAGTTTTCCATTACAAAGACTCGTGAAGCTCATAATATATAAATACGCAGACAAAATGGATGGGTTCTCTTTTGGTCTAAACCTAGCCTATCGTATAAAATATATATTTTGTATAAGGTTCATATTAAATGTGTATAATTATATAAAACTTTGCGCTGCTACAATGGCGTAATTATCTCACATATACACACATATATGTATTATATTTGGTTTATCATGCAAGCTGTTTAAAATATACACTTATTAATTTGAGTACTGTGAATTGTAAAAAAAAAAACATATATGAATGAAATAAAAACCGTTATAGATTTATTGCAGTATTTTTACAGGAAATTAAGAGATCCTCGGTTTATATTTAGCCATAATAAACTCTTTGTGTAACTTATAATATGAAATATATGTTAAACAGCTTATAACAATCCTTGTACAGTCAACAACACGTCAGACTACACAAAATCGTCAAATTTCGTCAATCTATTTTAAACCTTTATACATTAATAGTAAAGGTCAACATTCATTGCAGAAACTCGACATAATATGGTAAACTGACGTCCAGCCGCGTGTACATAAGCTGTGCATTAATTTTTTATCTGTCACTAAATATGGCATATTTCAAGGTACTAGTCTTAGGGCACTTTGTTTATTATTTATCATTATATTATTTTGATACGTTATACTTACTTAGTGGGACGTCACAAGGAAATTTCAAAATAGTAGAAGGAAATTTATATAATTACATTTCATTATTATTCCGAAACTGTTTCGACTTAATATAAAACAAATATGTATATTAATTTAACTTGTTAAATATGTTTTATGACGAGAAAATTGTTTATACATGTAACCAATATACGGTATACGAATTCATACACAGATATAATCATTCATCTGTATTTTTTTCAGTCGAACTTACATTTATAAGCATAATTTTCGTGTGAGAATTTTGAATGAATTGTGATTTTTATTTAAATTAAATAAACAAAGAATATAATGACACACCCATATATAACTTACATTCGAATATGATCCAATGACAGAACATCGTGTCGACGTTAATAAATTTATTTTTAATTAAAAAAAAAAATATTGTCATATGTAATACTTTTTAATAATAATCGAATATACATTTTCGTGATTCCTTATACAATAGAAATGGTTAATTCCCTATTTTCTATACAAGACAACTATATATATTACATAGAAAGATGTGACTTTTTTATTTATATAATATATATGTATATAAAAACAGTTATTTACACAAAATGTTAACACACGTAACTTAAATTAGAAAGAGACGTATATATATATATTTGGAGTGGGCATAACAGTTAAGACGCTTATGCACGTTAGCGCTAAATTAGAAAAAAAACCTTTTTTGAATTTAAGTCTTTCATGCAAGATTCTGCGACGGTTACTTTTATTTCACACAACATATGTATAAGCTTTTCGACAGGGTTGCAAAATAACCAAAATTAGTTAAATATCTAATATCTAGCTACGGCAGGTTAAGGAACTTCAAACTATCTTTTTCCAATTTCAAACTAAAGTGCATACAAAACGCGCCTTATCGTTACGGAAATAAAGTACATTTTAATCTAAACACTTCATTTACAAACGATCACATTAAAACTTACGTATGGAATAAAACAACTTCTCTTTTAAATAACTAAGTTATTAGTTTCGTACTTAATGAATGGTAAACCTAAAAAAAACAATTATTACAAAATATATACATAATCTTGTGTGAAGATTTTTTCGGTAAAACAAGAACTCTGCTCTATATAATATGAAATGTAGAAGAAAAAAAAACACAGATTAAATGCCGTACAAAATGATGTTACAAAATCATGAAATGATTTAAACGAGTTTTATAGATCTGAAGAATCGATTATAATTTTTTACTGTTAGTTCTCGTTATTTGACGAGAGATGATGTTGATTGCAGTACACTAAAGTCTCGATTGATCACCCCCCATTACTCGGTTGGTCCTGGTGAAATAAAATATAAACTTAAGATCGGTAACTCTTAACTACAAGTCACGTGAGTTTTGAAAGACTTCATTAGTTTTTTTTAGACTTTATGCTCTATTCAATATTCTAAATTAAAAAAAAAAATGTATTTGTAATGTTAAACTAATGACAATTTTAATGGACGTTTGTGGTACTGCCCCCTTACTCTCAAACGTAATGACGACCGATCGACATTGGAATTGTGCCGCTCCGCTCTCTTGATTGATTACTGGCATACTTTGGCGCTACTGTACCTCATTAAGAGTACGAAAGAGTACAATTGCAATGTAGATCGGTTGTGATTGCGTTCTCGAATGGATTTTAAGGAGGCTTGATGTCAAATGTTTAATTACTGTCATATCAATTTAGAAGTGTTACGTGTTATATTGATTTCAAATATAGTTATTGCCATAGAAAAAACTCATGATTGCGGCCTTCAATTATATCTAAATTTAGGTCGCCAGCCAAAAAGTTTACGAACCGCTGCTTAAGTCAGCAATTAGGTAGGTAAACAAATTATTGTTACAACGATTTTGATAAAATCCATTTATGAATATGATGAATATGATTATAATTATGATGAAATTACCTGTATAGGTTGTTCTGCTTCCGGTTTGAGAAAGTATATCTCATCTGTCATTTGGTAATCTACAACAAATTATTTCGGTTAGCATTTCATAAATTTGAAAATCTAATATTTTAAAAGTTTAATTTTTTTTTAATTTCTCAAAATTTTAATATACCGACTAAAATTTAGTGAAATTTTAAATTTATTACATACAAATTTAATCATTAGTGTCAATAAAAAGGACAGTAGCAGATGCAAATTATTATTATACAGGGTTATTTATAAAACACCAACAAGCTCGCAGTAATCTACTTAAAATTACCTAAAAACTAAAATTATTTTTAAAGTCTTAAACGCTTTCGTGCTGTCTGAAGTGTTATATGTGTATATATTTATCTAATATTACTAATACGAGATAAGGCACCTTTCAAAAACTATCCGTGATGAAAAATACTTATAGAGTCCATATCATCATTCATTAATACGTAAGTCCCTAGCAACCAGAGACGAAACTCGACCCAGAACCTTTTGCAATACGGACAACTCCCATTGAACTACCCGAGACCAACAATACGGATAAAAAAATGAAAAATAATATTTACCTATGTCTATAAATTTTATTAGACAAAAATATTCGTCTAGTGATCTTTAAAATTTTATGAAATATTTAAACAAAAAAAAATGTGAAAATTGTACAAATTATACAATAAATTAAAATTTAATTTTAGTCTAAAAAAAACCAATACTTAATTATTGGATTTTTTTAGTATTTAAGATTTTTAAACCTGAATATTTCTTGAGATTGTTTCTATTCTTTTTTAGTTCAGGCTATTAATAATTAATACTTAAGTCTATTCTCTTATGGAATTATCGCCCCTTAGACCTTAAAATATCCACTAGCCTTATAAACCTTCAAAACGAAGTTACACATCTGTATTTTAGAACAAACTGATTCCTTAATTGTTTAATCGTATATATTATTTTTATGTATATAACGGCGGGTAGTCCGAATGGGCTATTACGAAGCCCAAATAGATCGTCCATATCGGAAGACTATCTTTAAAATAACACTGCAGGCGTGTATTCCAACGTGGATTTGTTCCATTTTATCACTTTTCACACGAAAATATAACGAGATGAGCGTGATGTCGTCAGATGTCTTTACTCCTCGGCGGTCGAAAACAGACTGTGTGCCAAAATGGCGGCAACTTGGTTTTTATAAACGAACTGTCAAAGTCAGTGTCACCATTCTAATAAAATTAAATGTATCGATGATCACGCTCTCTTTACAATCGAGTAATTAAGTAATCGAGTAACTAGCAATTAAAATAAAAGAAACTAAATCAAACGATCTTCGTAATGATGATGCGACATATACATTATGCACGTTTTAGATATTTATACTACCTTCTACTTTTTAAATTGTTTTTCGTTACGCACCTTACCACTTGTATGTCTCCACATCACCCCAAGATTGACCGATAGAGAATGCCTTATGCATTATAATAAATAACGAAAAATTCATCTATTATGGGTAGTCTGGTGATTCACCTGCGTGATGTATCCTGTCCTCCCGTTCCCTGGCTAATGCTAGTTGTCTCCTCGCTTGTACGGCTCGTAATTCTATTGCGGGGAGGGCATCCAATAATCCCCTTACAGCGCCTTGAAGTCCGCTACTCAGCGATGACACTCTCGCCGCCAGTATGGCCGCTGACGCGTTACTCTCTACGCAATAGGAAACATATCGCTGGTTTTATTACCAAACTTGATCAGGAAGAAGAATTAAAATAAATTCACTGCGTTTTATAACAAACAAATAAATAAACAAAATAATAAATTTTAAATGTGCACTACATTATAATCTAGAGCAGTGATTTCCTAAGTGGTCCAGGTAGACCCCAGGGGTCAACGAGGGATTCAACGGGGGTCTACGTTGGCGTGAAATAAAAACGATTTCCATCGTTAGATCTTCACATTTTAGATGAATTTTGGGAATATGGTAAAAATGTAGCAGCAGGGGGTCCATTAATTTTTTTAAAATGGTCTACGAGATAAAGTTGTTTGGGAACATGGGTCTAGAGCAAGTATGTGCAACCTTGGACATGTTTTTTTTTTTGCGATAGATATCAGACATTAAATAATACGACAATGTTATTATAAATTAGGTTTTCTAAAACGTCTCGTTGGCGGGTAGTTGCCCACCGTGGCTCTAGAGGTATAATAAAATTCCGTAACCTGTGTGTTATGGTATAAGAAGTTACCAGAGCCAACAGCATAAGTATGTACTAATATAGCCGGCTAAATTATCACACTTCTTATTTTTTTGTTTTAATCAGGAGGTAAAAAGTTATTCGCTGCTACTGCTTAAGGCACATTATCGCCTATTAATGCTTTCACGACTAGAGCACAGGCCAAGACCACATGTGGAATTATATTGTGAGTACGAACTTTAAACCCACAAAATGCAGATTGGTAGGTGTTAACGGCTGCAGATACAACTAAGATTACGAATTCCGATCTCGATTCGATTTTATCGCAAATCGATCTTTTTTGACCTGGATCTTCGGTTTTTGAATCGATTTTTTGCCACCCATATCGATCTCAAGATCTCTACTATTATTACCTGTAAAGAATTTATCTTTCATTTTCCTCGTTAGCTTAAAAAACAATTGCAATCCCAATAACATAAATTATTATTGGTTAACAGTTTTCTACATGTAATAATTCGATATCACTCGAATAATTTGATAGATAGGATAATCGATCTTAATGGCCGATCCCAATCGATTCTTTTGCTATAAATCGGTAAACGTAACGGATACTGATTTAGTTTATTGCACAAAAATTTAAATTTAAGTGACCAACGATTACGAATGGAATCGACTCGAAAAGAGTAAATGGGCCATGCGTAGCTCACCACTTGACCCAGTGAGGATTGGTGGGTGTTAAAGACTGCAGATGTATCCGGGACCATTGGTTTATTGGGCCTTTCGAAGCAAATTTTACCATCATCATCAGCCCTTTCTACGTCCCTTCTGCAGATGCTTAGGCCTTCCTTATGGTACGCTTACCCAACGCGGATTGGAGGGTATTAACAACTGCAAATACAGCCGGGACCAACGGCTTAACGAGCACGAAGTAGCTCGAGATAATAATTTTTGGTCACCCATCCCGTGACCGACCCTTGCGAAAGTTGCTTAACAACAACGATCGCGAATCACGGCGTATATCCACTAAGCCGCCGAGCTGAACCGAAATCCATTTATCTCCTCCTTTTTTATAGTCTGTTAATAACGTTATAATCTCACCTAGCGCTCTCTCCGCATCGCCCTCCACATCGGTCGCATCTATCGTTGGTTCAGAATGTAGTCCCCTCTCTAACGCTGACATCGAATCCGCCACTTGTTTCTCCAACGCTGGGTCTAATAATTCACCTGCCACCACTTTCTCAGAAGATTCATTAGAATCTGTGATAAAAAATAAACGAATAACGATGTCAATTTAAATTAAATAACTACAACATTAAAGAGATAACACTACCTACTTAACGATAACGATAATATACAATTTTAAAACTCAATTGCAAGTTTGACGAACATACAAACATCGTAAAAAACCGACGAAGTGCGAATCGGACTAACGTACGAAGTGTTCCGTACTGAAAACGAGCAAAAAAGTTTGTTATATTATTATATGTCTTTAAAACTTGTTTAATTTTAAAACTTACTATATAAATATATATTCTTTAAATAATTTAAGCGTCTATCTGTTGTCGTTTTCAATATCGATCAAAAACAACCAAAAAAAATTGCGTTTGTTGTATGGCAGCCGCCTTAAATATTTATTTTATTCTGATTTTTTGTATTTGTTGTTGAAGAGGCAACAGCAAATATCATCTGTGAAAATTTAGGACAGATATCCAAGTCTTAATAATAGTATTCCCATGTCTCAGTCCCAGTCTGTCACCGACATTAATAGATACAACTACTGTGTAAAAACGCTCCTGCTATTAAATCAAAGCAGTAAATGTAAACAGTGAACATAGCCAAAATATCAATATATTGCAACTAGTGATACATCGGCAATTATTAATAGTCAATGATAAGTATATCCGTGGTGAAGCTGGTGCAAAAAGTTGAATTTTCTATTGGATTTGAGTGAACAAAAAACTTGTGTACCCTATGTGCTAAATATTAACAGCTGACAGAAGTATCTGAACGATACGCGTAAGTGACACCGACTGCACGGCGCTTACGTCGTTTCTTTCGCGGGGATTTAATACATCGCATGTGATGGGCCTATATTAAAGTGCTCTGAACAGGTGGGCCGTTGTTACCGTACCGCACACGCGTCCACTACCACGATACAAAGCGACGGTTAAGCGATACCGCTTCTGTGACATTACCTTTGAGAATCTCGACATTAAGGTAAACTAATTGCTTCTTTTGTGCATTGCTTAATATTGAATTGCTTCACGTCTTGAATAAGATGGCCTCAGCTTTGAATAAGATGGCTTCGGGCGACGTTGTGTGTGCTGGATGCCTTAACACAATAAATTGTCATCAACATCTAAAGTGTAGTATTTGCATGGAGTTTTTTGATTTGGTGTGTGCGAATGTTTCGGAGTGTCGCTTTGTCAATACTATGACTTCCACTCATAAAGCCACTTGGAAATGCCAAGCGTGCAAGTGCAAAGAACCAAAGGGGGATAACTCTAATACTCCGATCCGACAAACCGCTAGCTTGCAGGTTATACAAAATGTCCCTCGAGAGAGCTTGGACAATGTTACCATCCGTCGTCGTGCACCGGAGAGCTCCAAGGATCAGTCCTTGATGCAGTCATGTCCTGAGGATGCTATTTATGTGGACCACATTAAAGAAATCATCCGGGAGGAACTGGAGCGCAATCTTCGTGAATACGTTGAGGGGGTTATATCCAAGAGAGTTTCTGAGCACATCTCATCCATTATGGTTACCATCTCGCGTCTAAGGGAAAGATTATCTGCACTGGAGCATCGAGTTGTAGTGCTTGAGTCGAGCGCTCTCTCCCAGTCTCATATCACGGAATCTCCATTAACATCAATCATAGACCAAGAAGTAACTATGAGTCGTCCACAGGATAGTGCGCCTAAGAATAATAGTGACGCTTACGTTGGCAAGGACCTCATGGCTCCTTTAATATTGGAGAGGAAGGCCGTAGCGAATCGCCCGCTCTCTAAAGTTGAAACGGTCCCTTTAGTCTCGCAACAAAAGACCTCGCTGCCGCACAGACCGTCTGTGGTTTTTAAAACCTTAACAGAACATCAAGGGGAATGGGTTGAAGTGACTAAGCACCGTCGGCGCAGTGCTCCCCAAAATTTGCTTAAGGGGAGGGCGGCTCCAGGAAAAACTGGCTTGGAGGCATCTGAACGTATTCGTAGCTATCACCTTTTTTTTGTTAAGATGGGTACGACTGTTGAACAAGTCAGCGGACATATAAAGTCGATAATTAACAGTGATTGCTGCAGGGTTGAGGCATTAAAAGCTCGTGGTCCCTATGCTTCATTTAAATTATCTCTTCCATCTAGATTGTCGGATCGATTGCTGGCGGCAGATCAGTGGCCGGAGGATGTCTGTATAAAGCCCTGGCGAAAAATTTTTCGTCCCAGAGAGAAACCCGAAGCAAACTAATAATTCCATGGCAGATTCCTCCGGGGGGCGTCATCTTTCTGACGAGCGAAAACAACACGCTGACAATATTACGTCACCTCTACAGTTAAACATTTTTTACCAGAATGTTAGAGGCTTAAAAACTAAATTGGCTTCCTGGCACACCAGCTTATTGCTTTCCGAGCACCTGCTCGTGGCTGCGACTGAGACTTTTCTAGACAGCTCAGTAAACGATGCTGAGCTGGTTCCGGAAGGGTGGACGCTGATAAGGCGCGACCGCAAGACTCCTTGCGGAGGAGTTTTACTTGCTGCAAGGCCTGGTGTCGTGGCGCACCGTCGACAGGAGCTTGAGTCTGAGCTCGGTGAAGATTTGTGGGCTTCTGTCTCATACCGTGGGACTTCTTTTACTGTTTGCGTTGTATATGTCAGGCCGAAGTCTTCTGACGCAGTATATATGAATGTTTTGTGTAACATAGAATCATTTTTAACGATTAACGCTAATGCTAGTATATTTGTTGTAGGTGACTTGAATCTGAACAGTTCATCTAATAGTATTAAGAGTTACTATTGTTACTTTTTGAGTTATTGTAATTTAACGGACTATAATGACATAGTTAATGAGCATGGTAGCATACTTGACGTGGTGTTGGCGCGGGAGTGCAATGAATCGCGATCGTGGAAGGTATTTGTGAGCTTAGCTGTAGAGGGTTTTGTACCTCCTGATAAGTTGTATCATCCCCCCCTAGAAATCGAGTTGAAACCCCGTTTCCAGATTAGATGCCGCGACCGATTGAGGCCGAGCAATATTAATTTATCACTCGATTGGAACTTTAATAATATTAATATCTCTCTCTTTAAAGCTCTAGTCGCTGATGTTTCCTGGGAACCAGTTCTCGAGTCTAATGATGTGTCCGTTGCTACGGATGCATTCTACGACATTATGTACCGGATATTCGATGATTCCGTTCCCAAAAAGCGAAGATCCTCTGCGGCATGCGGTAGGTATCCTGTTTGGTTCGACGCAGATATTATAAAAGACATCAAGCGAAAGTCTCGCTTACACAGGGCATGGATATCAACAAAGTGTGTAGAATCATATGATGCATTTTCGAAGTTACGAGCGAATTTGAAAACGCAGATCTCGCAGGCATACGGAGTCTACCTGGCACGCATTGAGGATAATCTGCAACTACGACCCCAAGATTTTTGGAAGCACGTTCATCGGTTAAGGTCAAAGGGTGGCTTTGAGCCTCGGGTTTTGTATAGAGGGGCCACTTATACAGGTGTTGAAGCTGCCCAAGCGTTTGCTGATTATTTCTCCAGCGTTTTCTTGGATGAACCACCTTTACTTACTGGCAACACGTCTCTTGAAGAGGGTTATCAGGGTGGACATGTCAGTTTACCGACCTTGACGTCACGTAATATCAAGTACGGAATTGGTAGGCTGAAGCCAGATAGTTCGTTGGGACCTGACAATGTACCTGGTTCCATCCTTAAGACCTGCAGCAGACAGGTAATCATCCCTTTATGTCACATTATGAATCTCTGTCTGAAGAATGGTAAATATCCCGCCCAATGGAAGCTGTCTAGGGTCACACCTATACCCAAGGGTAAAAATAGAAATCTTGTAGATGAATACCGCCCTATAGCAATTTTATGTGCCACTGCTAAGGTCTTCGAATATATACTGCACAAGGAAATTTATAACCAGGTTAAACAACTGATAGGCGATGAACAGCATGGTTTTCGGCCAGGATACTCTGTTAATACGAACCTACTTTGTCTGGTTGACTATATTTCGGATGCTATGGATCGCGGGCGACAGGTTGACGTAGTATATTTTGACTTTCAAAAAGCCTTTGACAGAATAGATAACGACATATTACTGCATAAACTCTCGATTATTGGCTTTGCTCCCAATCTCTTGAACTTCTTCTCTGACTTTTTGAGGGACCGAAGACAATATGTAAGGCACGGTGTTTATGTATCCGAGGAATATCATACCAGATCTGGTGTCAGCCAAGGCTCAGTCCTTGGTCCACTTCTCTTTCTGATTATGATCCATGATCTACCTAAAATCTTAAGTACTGCAAAATGCCTCATGTACGCCGACGACTTAAAGCTATTTCTTGAAATCCACTCTCCTTGTGACTGCCTCTCTTTACAGCAGGACATCGACAGAATCTATGAATGGAGTGTGTTAAACAAAATCCAATTTAACCATGCCAAGTGTAATATTATGACTTTTGACCGTAAAAATAATCCAATAAAATTTGTTTATAACATGAATACCTTATGCATTAACAGGGTCAACTATGTTAAGGATTTGGGAGTTATATTTGATCGTGGTCTTACTTTCCATGATCATATAACTCATATTGTCAAGGATTCTTATCGCCATTTAGGCTTTGTATTACGAAATGCCAAAGACTTTCAAAATCCTCAGGTCTTTAAAACATTATACAATTCTTTGGTTAGAAGCAAGCTTGAAACGAGCGCTTGCGTTTGGAACCCACATCATGTCACCTATGTGCAGATGCTCGAGAGGGTCCAAAAAGCCTTCTTGAGAGCATTTTATAGGAAATTCTACGGGTATTATCCGTCTCGCTATCCAACCAAGTTTCTGCTCGGCCATCTCGGCTATAATTCCCTGGAGGTAAGAAGATTGTTGGATCAGCTTACCATTTGCCTCAAAACTTTAAAAGGTTCTGTCGATTCCCTGTTCTTACACAATCTGCTGTGTGTAATCTTTGTCCCTGACCGACCGGAACTCCCACCCGTCGGAAGGCGCGGTTGCAGTCGGCAACATAATTTGTTTCATGTTGATAGCGGCCGTACCTTAGCACGTGCAATGTCGCCCTTAGTTAGGCCTCTGCGTCACCTCAATGCACTTCGTGACGCCAACACCGATTTCGATTTTTTGTTTGACAATTGGGAAAATATCAAGCGGCAATTATTGACGTACTGTGAGAGTGTAAGGGACCAATGGAGTAACTCTGGTATCTCTGACAATGAAGATAGTGACTAGTATTATTTAATGTAATTGTTAATTTATTGACCTATTTTATTTATGACTTACTTATTTTATGTGTGATAAATTTTAATTATTTTAATAATCAATGTGAATTGTTAATTTTATTCTTTTTTGTAATGTGTGATAATTGTAACTGACAAAAGTCGTTTTTATCACAATAATAAATAAATAAATAAATAAAAAATAAATGTTAATTTTTTTTTCCTGTGTTTGTTATTGTCAGGAGAAGGTTGTTATGCAAGAAAAAATAAGAAAAAAGTGTTTTAAAAGATTTATACTTAGTAATATTTAACTACCATATAAAATTGTTTCTAATCTAACCTTAGTGCATTTGAAGGATAGATATATATATATTTTATTTATAATAACAATATGACAGTTGACTATAGAATTGACAGAATGCGTGCTGCAAATATCGTCAAATAATTATATTTGATTAATTTAGCATTCACAATGCTATACTGAAACATTCTTAACACAAAATGCTTAAAAAATCCACTCGGTCCCTGGCACCCTTGAAATGGGAATCCTGACTTACTTACGAATATTCGTATTCAATATTCATAATTAAGACAGGATAACTTCTGTCGGGCCAGCTGGTCTAAAATAAATATGAATAAATGTTTTATTATACCCGTTCGTTGCCTGCATCTATCGCATCGTCCTCGTCTCGTACGTGCTGCGAGCGCGGCCGCCTCGTTCACTGATAACGCGCGAGATATCGCTTGCGTCAACTGACTCGCTGCGAGTAAAATTAAAACTATTTATTCTTTATGAAAAAAACAAATATTTATATGTGGCAGAATATCTCCATCATCGTTACGAAGATCGTTTGATTTAGTTTCTTTTTTTTTTAATTGCTAATTACTCGATTGTAGAGGATCATCGATACTTTTAATTTTATTAGAATGATAACACTGACTTTGACAGTTCGTTAACCAAAAGCAAGTTGCCGCCATTTTGGAGGCTTTCTGTTTCCGATCGCCGAAGAGTAAAGACATCCGACGACATCATGCTCATCTCGATATATTTTCGTATGAAAAGTGATAAAATGGAATAAGTCCACATTGGTATACACGCCTGCAGTGTTATTTTGAAGATAGTCCCCCGATATGGACGATCTATTTGGGCTTCGTAATAGCCTCTTCTGACTACCCGCCGACATATACATATTATATTAACCACATCACATACATTGCTCAGATTCCAAGATGAGTAGCTAAAGCAGAGTATTAGGGAGTATCTGAGACAACGAAGGTACCACAACACGCAGACCCGAGACAATACAGAAAATAGTTCATTTTCTACATTGATATACGGGAATCGAACCCGGAACTCAGAGATGGCGACGACTTGAAATCGGCATGCGAACCACTCGGATGCGGAGGTTTTTCTTATATAGCATTTTGCAAAACTATGCCATCGGTTACTTTCCATCACAATATTAGAATACAATATTAGAAAATATAATAACATGTGGTTTGGATTAATTTTAACAAAACGGTTCGCCATTATCCTTCTTTCTAATATTTTATCTGATTCAATAGCTGACATGAAAAGAAACAAAACACAAGAATTTCGAGTTGCAATCTTTTACATTGTAATTTTGCATTCAATATCTTTATTGAAAATTGTTTAAAAAAATCCACCAGTTACGCTACTGGTGAGCGGATTTTCGCTCGGGTTGCGAAAGGTTGTCAGTTCGAGTTCCATATCGGGGTATCGTGGTCTCATTTCGGTTTGATTCGATTCCGTACATAGTAAAGACCCGACAGGGATATATATAACAAATAACTTAAGCGAATATTGCCATACCTTGCGCATGCGCAGCCAACAGTAGTTGTCTAACATCGGGCGAGTCAGTGAGCTCCTCCTCGCTACTCTCCATTGAAGATTGGCGAGTCGCTCGCAACTCGTTTCGAACGTCTACAAGCAACGTACAATCATAACACATGAATCGATTTATGCTATTATTTATGCTATTATTATTATTAAATAGAGACTTAGCAAAGGTTAACTTAGTACGAGGTTCTGCGAGAGTAATATTTACTGCTACAAGGACTACCTTGCAAACCTACAGCAAACCTACTAAGGTTTGCTTATTCTCTGTATAATAAATGTAATAACGCGTCATTGTACGAAATTCTTCTATTCGGCGACCGTGCTACAATAATACACGTACGCTCGTTCATACAAAACTATATAATTTCTCCAATGGATTCCAAACTTTATGACAATAAGGGTTTAGTTGAAAATCAAGTGCAAATTGAGTAAAGAATTTTAAAGACTCTTAAAATGAACTTTGTTGACTACATAATCCTGAACAATCGTTGTTTGACAATTAATAAGTTTTCTGATGTACTCACCGACTTGTCCAAGTGTATCGGCAATGGCGAGTTCAGAGAAATGTTGCTGTAAAGTTTCAGGAACTCCTAATACTTCTCCTACAATTGCAGCTTTAGCTCGCAACGCGGCTTCGATACCTTCGTCTAATCGCCTCAGTCGCTCTATAAATAATAAGGACACTCAAATTATAAGATATACGAAGGTGTGTTCTTAGAACCCATGACATCTATTTTAGTGACAAGAAAAACTGCATTCATAATTTTGTCTAGCTTTCAGTTAAATAAAAATTCCCACTATCTAAAATCACCATATCTGCTCTGACAAGTAGCATGGTATTTGAATATTTTGAAATCACCGCAATTTTCCACCTCCTAATAATTATTTTCAAGACAAAAACTAAAAGAATTAATGTTGAAATATATTTACATAGACTTTATTTTAAACCAACGATGATCATAATTAAATATATTTAAGCCTTTTTTGAATCGGACGCATAATCCTTATTAGGTTAGGAATATTATTTATGTTGAGGCAGTTATTGTATTTTTTTTTTTATTATATTAAATATATTACCAAGTATCAAGATGTTTTTATCGTTTTCCCCAATAATGCCTTTTAGAAATTAAAATTAAATCAGTCATGTTAGTATTGGTGTTATATGTATTGTTTACTGTGTACGTTTGAATCACAAGCATAATCCCTATTAGGTGAGGAGTATTATTAATGTTGAGGCAGTTATTGATTTTTTTTTTTGTATATTAGATATATTACAAGTATCAAGACGTTTTTATCGTTACATTAGTGTAACTCGTATTAGTTTTATGTGTATAGTTTACCTGTGTACGTGCACACGGTAGTGGCGGTGTGTGCGGGCGCGGGGGGGACAACTGTGAGGGCGGGCGGTTGTTCTAGCGCGGGTTGCGTGCTCACTACACCCACGCCTCCCCGCGGACTGTACACAACAACAATAATACGGCTCATTTACACGTATCAATCTATAAAGTGACTTTACTAAACTCAACTTTTAAGTCATCAAAATCATCATCAGCCTTTTAACGTTCCCAATGCAGGGGCTCAGGTGAGAACGGGCCATTACCCTCCACGCAGGCCATACGCGAATTGGAGGTAGTAACGACTGCAAATGCAGCCGGGTTCAACGGCTTAACGTGCCTTCTAAAGCACGGAATAGCTCGAGATAGTAAATTTTTGGTCACCCATCCCGTGACTGACGCTTGCGAAAGTTGCTTAACAACAACGATCGTGGGCCGCGGCGCTTATCCACTACGCCACCGAGCTACTCGTTAACTTTTAAGAGACTACTACTTATGGCTGGTTTACACGGATAAAGTAGATAAGCATAAGTAGTTACAAAATTGTTAACTTAATTTTAAATGATTATGCACGTGTGTGTACACAAATAGTTGGTGCATAAAGGATTGAAAATATTTTTTAAAATTAATTAATGCATTAACATGGTATGATTAACGGATTACGGCACACTTACATTTGTAATTCAAGTCGAAGTCATAAAATTTGCGCGTATAGGGTTGCCAGCATCAACGATGCGACAAAAATCATCAATTTCATATCTAGTAATAGTCAAACTCATAAAAAATATTTGAGTAATGCTAGATAAAGTCGTGTCGAGTCGTGTAAAGTAAACGAATTTGTTCTCTTTGCTGTCAGTACTAAACGGACAGCTAAACCATGAAGTTGTAGCTTACCCGATTCTTTTCTGATTTGGTTAGAATGCATATTAATATTATGCCTGTCCAACCTATAGAATATATAAAAATTATTCCAGTGATTAAACTCTAATACCCACATCAGCTTCTCTTCCTTGTCTAACGTCTCCTCCTTTTCTTTAACATCGAGCTCCGGCTTTTCGTCTCTCTCTTCAGCGGGCGTGCTCTCTCGCTCGCACTCGGGCGGTCCGGGTGTTCTGTCCTTGTCACTCTCTGGTTCGTCTGTGGTAGCGATCGATTTTTCGGATGCGTCCGATGGATTTCGGGATACGTTGGTTGTGCCTGAATAAAATACTTTAAGTTCTAAAGTCTGTACAAAATACACAGGGTGATTAAAATCAAAATAATGTGCAATTTCTATATTTCCATCATAAATTAAGTATCTAAAGCACCTGCGTTACCAAATTCCAAAACAACTAAGGTACCACAACACCCGAAAAAACTTAATTTCCTATATAAACTCGAGCAGGAATTGAAACACAAACTTGGAGGGTTGGCAACACCTTTAAATCAGCGTGGAGCCACTCCGCTATAGAAGTAATTGGAACTCTATAATCCAGAGGGAGTAATAGCTCTATTTATAGTTTTAAAATCAATATATATTTTGATTGAGTCCTCAACACAATATAACTTTTGAGTGCATAACCCAATATACGTACCCTCATCGTCAGTGGATCGCGTGGGTTGGTGCGAGGGTGTGATGGTTTGCTTCAGTTCCACCTTCGCTAGTGGCGCCTCCTGGATACAGTTCACCCATCTAAAACAACCATTTATTTATGAAAGATAACATTTTAACTTACCAAATAACTTCTAAAGATATTGATCCTGAACGTAGCCAAAAAGATAATACTTTCATAAGTTAACTTACGCTTACATCAGCTAAAATACCGATTAATTCAATATTTTTTTTAGTATTCTAATTATTGTTTAATCACTGTTTCATATGTATGTTTGTGTGATAAGTGATAAGGGGGAAAAATGGGTAAAATTATCGTAGTTATGGCCAAAACAAAAAAAATTGTAAGAGGAAACATTTAACAGTATTTAATACAAAAAGTGACATAAAAAATTTCATACTGAGTTCAAAAATATCATTTATATTCGTTTCATCTTCTGTTAAGCGAATACAACTTTAAAATCATCCATAATGAATTGAAAATAGAAATCTTATTTATTCGATGTGTCTTATGTTATACAGCTACAACTACAAAATAAACCATAATGGTTTGCAAATAAGAATTTCAGTACAATGATTATAACTCACGTGGCATATTCAGCGGCAGTGTTAGCTGACAGCTCGTGCATTTGTACGCCGTTGATGTTCATCAGGAAGAAAGTGTTGCGAACTGCGGCGTTTGGTCGAAACAGGACCTTATCCCTGCAGAAACAATAGATAGCAAAAAATGTAATCACTGCGACAGCTAGGAAAATCCATTGGCTACCGTGCGGCATAGTGGAGGTTCACCTTCACTTAATGAAAAATGCTTAAAAAATCCACTTTGTCCGTAGATTTCGTGGTATTCTCTAACCACTAAGATACCCAGGACCTATCAGGACTGGCGGATTTTTTACGCACTTATTACTTTTTTGCTACTACAAAGCGTATTTTCATCAATATTCAGGCAATCCACTTTTTAACCAAATTTGGAAAACTTTCAAGCATTTTTCATTGAGAATATTTTCTAGTAGTAATGAATAAATAAATAAAATAAATAAATAGTATAGCATTGTGAATACAAAATTGATCAAATACTAGGGTTTAAAAAGACAACTAAATAGTTTGGTACCATTTAATGAGCGGCGATAGAAGTCCATGTTGATGAGGCAGTGGCTTCAACAGGAATTTGTCTCCCTCCTTTTGTAGTAACACCAACATGTCCTCGAACATCAGCGCCTGCACAAACATACACGCTCGTCACATTCATTAACTACGTCACAATTACCATATTCGTCACAGTTGCTATATTCATCACAGTTGCTACATTAGTCACACTTGCTACATTCATGACACTTGTTACATTCGTGACACTTGCTACATTCGTGACACTTGCTACATTCGTGACACTTGCTACATTCGTGACACTTGCTACATTCGTGACACTAGCTACATCCGTCACACTTGCTACATACATCACATTTACTATATTTGTCACTGTTGCTACATTCATCATAATTGCTATATCTGTCATACTAACTACATTGGTCACGCTCTGGGCATTGTGTGACGAATGTAGCAATGTGCAACTGAAATTCGGAGATGTGTTTCAGAGTTGTGAGAACATATGTATTGGGTGATTTAATGGTTAGCCTATATTTTATGTTCCATATACATGCGTATTGAAACAGTAACATAAAGATAATTTTATTTACAAAATATAGTAAAATAATTACATATTTCTGCAAAAAAATAGCATAAACCTTCTATTATACGAATAATTTGAAGATACATACACCAGCACAACAGCTTACCCCTAAATATCAAATTTCTTCAAAATATTTAGACTTTAATATAAATGTTGTAAAGATTATAATCAAAATTAATTCCACCCGAATCTACAATCGCAATACATTGGATCACTGGACTGATGATGAATTATGATTCGTATTCTACGCATTTCTATAAGCAAACACCTGAGTCCCATCAATGGGGATAAACTCTTACGGATTTGAAGTATATACTAACCAGTACTGCAGTCTTCTTGTGCTGATCTAGCCTAAGTGTCAGTTCCCCCTCTAGCCTCAGCCTCCTGGAGGGTAGTTCCAGTCTTCTCAGTTCATCCCATTCATTCCCCGCTCTCACTTCCAACTTGGCTTGTATATTACGTAACCTGCACAAGAAAACAAAAATAAACTATAAATGTGTAGCTAACTTTTTTTTTAATATCCGTTGAAGTCAGAAGAGGAAAAAATAATAATAGTTAACCATAAAACTATGAATTGCAAAATTATAAGAGAAAGATTTAATTCTTTGTGTGTTTGTATGAAATGAGTTCTACAGGACCAATTTTAAAAATCCTTTCACTGTATAATTTAACATATCATTTTGAATTAAAGCAAAAGAAATGTGACCACATTTCACAAGTGTAAAATAATACTTTCTTGATCAATATAACTGAAAAGTAAAGCGGGATACTATTACTAAGACTCCGGTAACCGTCTGTCTGTCTGTCACCAGATTGTATCTCATGAACAGTGATAATTAGAATGTCGCAATATTCACAGATGATTTATTACTGTTGCCGTTATAACAACAAATATTAATATAAGAAAAAAATCTGTATTTTTTGCTATGATGTCACGGCTTTTTATAAATAATATTTTGTTAATATGTTTTTCCATACCTATGTTCGTTCTCAGTGGCTCTGATAGCTTGGTCTACACTGAGCAACATGTCTTTGGCTCGGTCCAGTGCTTTTTGTAACAAATCTACATCCTCTGCTGCGTCCTCATCTTCAGACACTGTTTTCAAAACGCTCTCTAGTAGAAGACGGTATTTTGTTAATCTGCAATGTAAAAGAAACACATACGCACATAAGTCACCTCTCTCCTGTTTATAATTTATTTATATAATGCTATAAATTATAAGTAACACCCTAATTTGTTCATGTGCTTCAGACCATATAACCTCGGAGTCATATACATATTAATATATACGTATAAGGTTATCAACTCGTTAACTTGACATTCTTAGTAAGAAAGAAATATAACATAGAATACATATATAAGTATGCAGCCTAACTATCTATAGACCACAATTTCTTTTTTTTTTTTTCATAATAGCGGACTCTAAAATTATAAAGAATCTCTAAATTAAAAGTTGTCATAAAAAGATATAAAAAACATTTTTCAACATAATTATCTATAACTGTTATGTCACCAGTCAATCTTGATATATATTTAATTATAAAGTGATACATTTGTAATATATGAGTATGATTCTTGTTTTATTCATGGAAAAGACTTCATGATACAAAGATTTTACTAGCAAAACGGACTCGTTCTTATTATGAAAGGGAAAAAAAAGGTTTATTTTATATAGATAAAGTAACAAATGGAAAGCTACTCACCTCTGCCAGACGCAAGCTAGTAAATCCCTCAGCTGCAACCTCCCGCACAGAGGTAACTGTTCTCTGGTCGACAGGAACTGGTGTAATTCTTTATTCTTCCGTCTCCGCTCGCGTAAAGACTCGAGCGCCAAACGTTGGCCGCGACAGAAACGCGACAAGCAAGCAGCGTACGACGGCTCGCCTAGCTGTTAAGATTAAGTACTAATTACTAATCGTTTTTTATATAAATATCACACAAAGATTTGATTTTTAAGGTCGAAACTACTGGATCGATTTTTATATTGCGTTTATATGAAAAATTAATAATATACTGAACTACATATTACGTTAAAACTAGCTTGTTTGACAAATCAGGAACGCACTATTTTAATTTTTTGGGTTAATATATCTTAAAAAAGGAATCTATCAAACATAAAATAAGTAAGTAACAAAAACCTAATTAAACAACTAAATCACAGACATATAATAATAAACTAGTACAGATACGCAACTCATACAAACTTTTTCAACTTCCAAACGAACTATATAATCTTGTTTCTTCACATGATGGCGCTGACTTCAATTCGTACGCTTTGCTATACCTGCTCACTACCATACTATATACACGGGCGGCGAACAGAAATAATTTCGAACGTTGACCTCGGTATCTATTGATATCGTAAACATTTTAAATTCACTTTACTATGACAAAAATGGCTAGATGCATCTGCGCGAGCGCAACAGCAATATCTTTGCGCACGAGTGAAAGAGATACGTAATTCCGGGTCATTGTACGAAATTCTTTCTGTTCCGCGACTGTGCTCTACTACTTAAACATGTAGCATCAACATACCGTTCCGAGCAGCGCAAGCGCCACATCTCTCAGTGCCACCTGATGCTCGATGGCATTACTCCTGGCGTTCCTGAGTCTAGCGTGTAGGGCACAATGCCAATCCCTGACGTCGGGCAAGTTTGGGAATAGCTGCCTGAGCTCTTCCGCCGGCAGTAAAGATGGAGCGGCTTCCAGGGGACGCAGGAATACGCGGCAAAGCACTTTCAGCCACCGAACGTGTGAGCCCTCTGACACTATCAGCTCTGGCATAAGAATAACATAGATTGTTATTACAATAGAGATGATGACCAATTTTTGTTTGTTTGTCTGTCGGGTAGATTATTGTAGAATATTAAAGACATAAGCTTTTTATTTTTTGCACAATCAATAAATTACGGTAATACATTGAGTTAAAATGTCGCATGACGTCACGCTTTTGTATATATTTTCTACAAAACTGTAACGTAGCGAGCCCCCCACTCCTCAACTTTAATGCCTGTTTTCTAAGCCATTTCTTGTTTAAATTGAAGCATATATTTTTCCATTATCTGACTGACAGACTCAATAGAATAACTTTTTTTTTACCCAGTCGTTAGCACTATCCATAATTTTTGCAATCACAATAATATGTTGATATTAATTAAAAGCTATTATCTATTTTATCATGATATGAAGGACATCAAACAAACTCAAGCGGCGATGATTGAACATCGTCTAACGTTAAATTTCAAAAACATGTATGGATGTCGTACATAATTTTATTCATTTAAGTTATTAGTTAGCATTTAAAGTAGAATTAATAGAATGAGAGTTAAGTATATTGACCAACTTTTACTATAGGAGCAACACTGAATTCACAGAAAAATAATTAATTGTTTCATACAAAATCGTAATACCTAAAATAGCTAACAGTATGCTCCTATAGTAAAAGTTGGTCAGTGTACTCAATTCAGTCGCTCTATGAAGGACTATCCTCATAACAATATTAGTTTTATATAATATAATAAGTAAACATGTATACTACACGAAGGAATTAAGAGTGATAATAGTTACCGTGTATAACTTCCTGTCTTTTCCTGATTCTGGAGGATAGTTGCAGCGAGTCGAGAACGTGCGAGGGCAGACTGTCCGCCCACTGAGCCGCCAGCGGCTCCTCCTCTTCTGACCATTCCGACTGCGACGCTAAACCATACAGAAAAAAATCACCCACCATGATCAAGTTATACACAGATCCAGATTTCAAAAAAGTTTACAATAACAGTCATCCGAAAATACGCCAATTGCGAGCTCTCGCTCAAAATAATACGAGTACATTCCTGCAAAGATGTTTACTAAAATATATTACGCTGTGATATAACATTTTGAGTGTAGTTCCACGTGGGTAATTAAACACAGTAAACCATTAAAATGTAACGTTATAACTATGTTAGGGTTATGGGCATGCCCATCGTTTCTGACGGTGGGTCTGCCATTGACTATACAGTACATCAGGTTATACGCGTACAAAAGGGACAAATTGTTCCCATCTATTTGAACTTTTTGAATTTCATCAATTTAACATGCTGTGATACCCTGTAGTGCTGCTGCAATATCTTTAGTAAAAAAGGTTGGTGCGCGTTAGTGACGCAGATACCGAAAGTATTGCTTCGCTTTATTTTTTTGTTTTGCCATAATTCACTCGAAGTCCAAAATGGCCGACACGATGCCACTGCCCAAGACCGCGTTTTGAGCCTTAAGTCCCGTTAGTGTATTTGTACTTATATCAATACCTTGCTGGTCAGCGGCGACGGTGTTGCTCTCGTTACTTCTGGACGAAAGGCTTGAACTGCTTGAAGACCCAGACGGTGCGGTGACCGCGCCCGGCTCCAAGTCACTGCAGAACAAACAAAAACACACATTAACATTACATATGATTTAGGTAGAAAGGCTTGTAGAGAGAATCAACTGCTAAAACCCGCTAGTCTTAGGATTGGCGCATATCTGACGCAAGATCCATTAAGAGCCTTACGGAGGTTATGGGTGGGTTACGTTACGTATCATTCGTGTGCAAGGTTGAATGTCAAATCATATATTTGTCTGTTCTAACGATACACAATCAACGGCAGTCAAATATTCACCGATCTTTAGACTAAAGACGATATAAAAGCTGTTAACACAAGATCGATAGATAATTTATACTTACTACTTCTAACAATCAAGTAACTACAATATAGATACAAATAACCCACAATTCCGCGCACACTACTTACTCATTAAATAGTCTCTTCATACAGAAGGCTTTAGTGTACAAAACAGCTAAGTTTTGTGTACATTGGCTGAAGTAATGACATTTGTTGAAGATAAAGAAAAAATCACGCCGACTGCTAGCTTACTACATGATATAAATTGTATAAATATTCTATTCATTACAAACGAGACGGTATGAATGAAATTCTGAAACGATGTATCATTGCGCACTTCTCTAAACAACACCGCTAAACTATTATTGAAGCGTTGGATACAATAACATTTGTATAGTATTGAAACGAACGAACATTTTATTCATAATAAGAGATGTTTGAACTGTAGATATAAAACTGAACGGATAAATAATAGCATTGGAGCAATATCTGGAAACGTCTTCCTAAACATTATAAGAGGCAATGACTATGAAGATATAGCAAACAATTAGTCACTCTTCATAGCACAGAAGAAACGAAAAATAATGTTAATAAATTTTTAGATTTATCTTTACCAGAGATTTTTCCACAACAAACTGTACATGGACGATACAAACATAAACCTTCAAATCCCGATCAATCTTGGGCCGTTAAACGTTTATTTATCGTTGCAGACACACTATCCATAACTACAGAGTCCCAAATAAAAATTTGCTGCCGAATGAAATCATCAAAAGTTTTCCTACGTCGAATGGGACCACATGAATCAACCGTATACACAAACATCAATGTCAAAGAGGTTGCTAAACTAACAACCGTAACTCGGACGGAGGGAAATTGTCCAAAAATAGTTGGGAACGCGTGCGGCTATAAACCTGGAAAGGTCACGACGCGCGGAAACGGGACTTAAAACATTCACGGGATGTGTACATAACATCATAAACGTAACGCACTTAGATGCTACAGGGATGGCAATTATTCCTTCAACCAACTTCAAAAGTGAATTTTTGCTCGTTTAATATGGTTTCTGGTTGTGAAAATAAGTTTGTACGTCAATGCAAATGTGAACATAGACATAAATAAGTGAAGGATCAAGACGAATCAAGAATTCTTGGAAACATCGAGTTAAAATCGAGGGGAAAAGAAGAAGAAACCCCAGTACAGGATACTTACGTTCCTTGGTATAAAGGAAAAACAATTACATATAGAAAAGGCCAAACTTGGTAATGAAAAACTTCTTACCAGAAAAGATAAAATTCCTAAATAAACATTTTATACATCAAATGAACACGTAAAATGTTCACTTAAGGAATCCAAGCTAATTAAACCAACAAGTTGACCCGAATTTGGACAG